GTTAAGAAATGGGGGAGTTAGGTAATGGGCTCTCCTGGAGTTCACCACGTAACAAGAGACCGAAAATGAGATTTACTGTGAAGAACTCAGGATGGACATGCGGACACCTTTGTTGAAGGGGTACAGGAAATTTAAGCTTACCAAGAGAGCTTTTCCATGGCCAAGAGTCATGCTAGACCAAGAAAAAAAAAAAAAAAACTCTAAGCCTAAAAGAATGAGCACAGGGCCTGGGAAATGACTCCGTGGATAAAGTGTTAGGACAGGACTTCAGATCTGTCTGACTGCCTGTACTCCCAACAATGTGAGGGTAGTTATGGGTTGTCAGAGCAAGCTGGCTAGGAGACTAGACACGTGATCATTCTCTGGGCTCAGAGAGAAACCCTGACTGGTTATATAGAGTGGAACATGACTGAGGACGACACTTAATGTCAACCCCACCACCACGGGCAAATACAGACGCACCATGCACCCACCCACACACGTGCACGTAGAGTTTTAAATTTAAATTAAAACGCATGGTTTAATTTGGAAATAAAAACTTAGAAACAAAAATTATAACCTTAATAAAAAGCAAAATAGAATTTGTGGCAGAAACCTTGACAAAGAGGGCCATCTTTTATCGGTACAGGTACATTTCTCTAAATCTTCTAAACTTCTATGCGTCTTTAGACCCCAAAAGAAGTTCATCAAAAGACTTATAAACCTAAAGCAAGTAGGGCTTGGTATTGCCTGCCTTTAATTCCAACACTTAGGAGTAAAAGTCAACAGAGGCCAGCCTGGTCTACAGAGCGACTTCCCAGTCAAAGCTACCTACTGGGACCCTTCTGGAAAAACAAAAGCAACACAAACACAAGACAGAGAACAAACACAAGACAGAGACATTTTCACAGATCTACTGGGATACACCTCCAAGAATATAGAGCACTAACCTAATGAATGTATAGAAAAATGTGTTAGCTTTCGAACAAGGACTTTCTTATAGTGACTATGAAAATGTTTTTAAAAATAGGTTATATGTTGTTCCAAAATTAAAGTTTCAAAAAGCTATATTAGAACAAAAAAATTACCCTGCACATCTTTGAGTGTACTATGATAACATAAGAAACTAATAGCAAGCCCGGCGGTGGTGGCGCACACCTTTAATCCCAGCACTTGTGAGGCAGAGGCAGGCGGATCTCCGCGAGTTCGAGACCAGCCTGGTCTACAGAGCTAGTTCCAGGACAGGCTCCAAAACCACAGAGAAACCCTGTCTCGAAAAACCAAAAGAAAAAAAAAAGAAAAGAAACTAATAGCAAGCCATTGTCAATAACATCAAGTATAATACAATGATACTTTTTTTAAAAAGCCATACTTTCTAAAAGAGAAAAAAATAACAGACTTTAGAAGCGAATAGGAGTCAGATGTCATTGCACACATCCATGATGGAGACAAGATGACCACTCACTCATTCCAGGCCAGCCTGGGCATCATAGCAAGACCCTGTCTCAGAAACGGAAATAAAATAAATACTTAACCCTATTGATGAGTCTTAGGTCAAAATTTATACGGCAAGCTGCCAAAACTTATTTAAGAGGTAGAATACTTAAATATATATGCCTAGCAGGATATGCTTGTAAACTCTGTTTCGTATGAAGAACCAGCTAGTTCATATGACGAATAAATTGGAGATGCACGCACAATGTGTGGGTGGGAACGGGGATGACACCTGTACCACGAATGTGCGCACCAACCGGGTAGACTGCTCACTTTCCTGGCCCCAGTTTTCCTAATTACAAACTGTAAACATCAACTTCATGAGCTTTCGTGAAGCCTCGATGAGCTCTTAGGTGTTAAGCATGTGAAGTCGATGGTGTGAGGGCTGAGGATGTAGCTCAGCTAGTAGTGGGCTTGCCTAGCCCTGCCTTTCAGGTCCATACTGACAAACTCCATGTGGATGAACAGGGATGAATAACTGGATGCAGAGAAGTACAACACACTGATGCCCGGAAACCAAGAACTGAGGATGGAGAGAGGGGTTTAGCTTGGGGAGTGGGTAGGAAGGGTTAAGACTGGTTAAGGCAGATGCTTAACCTCTAGTTAAAATGACTTTAGCCACCCATACCCACCTGGTCTGGCAGAACCTCCAAAGACCCCTCGTTCTTCCTGAAACTGACAACCCATAGGGGACTGGAAGGCCAGCATACACGGGCTTATCCAGACAGATCAATTAAAGGAGCAGGATCAGGGAGTCCAACCGCATCAGGCTCTCCTAGGGACCTGCCCATCCCCCCGACCCTCTCCAGCAGCTCCGCAGGTGCAGTCTCTCCAGGGGGTAGTGAGAGCCATGAATAGTAAGCGTTTTAGCTCAAGCACATAGAGGCGTTTAGCTGCCTAAATTTAATCCCCCAATAATCGGATTATGTAAATTCCTACTCCAACCTCTTCCACGGCGGGACCTAGCTTCTAAATGCTCTACACTGGGAGAATGGGACCGGAGCGGACCCATCACTCTGAAGAGCCACTGTAGGGAACCGGTGTACCCAAATGGCTTCTAAAAGCACAAAGCCAACAGTAACATTTAAGAAGGTTCAGGAACAAAAGCCAGCCCTCTTCCAGTGTACTAACATACTTACGTTCCTTTCCCTGAGCCTCTCCTCTTGGTCTGAGTTCCTAGCCACTTTGGCAGGTTTTATTTGGTAGCTTGTTACGCTGAGCATCCTCCATTGGTTCTTGCCTCGATTCTTTTTCACAAATGGAAAACGGGCGACGGAGAAACTATATCACCTCACGGTTTTTGGCTAAGGTGAAGGACAGCAAACTTCTGTGTGGCTGGTCAGAACTGTAATATAATCGGACAGCGTGGGAAAAGCACAGACACCATAGGAACAACTTCTCTCCCACAGCGCACCGAGAGAGCAGGGGGCAGAAAGAGGAGCAAGCCAAGGGTGTTTTCTGCAAATATTAGGTTGTGTCTCTGTGCACAAATTAGCCAGCTCTTCTTATTCCTTGCTCCACTGCATCCTCAAGTTACAACAGAAGGAGTCTTGGAGCCCCCAGCTGTAGTTACTGGTCGCATCTTTGCAGCACAGTGTTCTCTTCATGTCCTCTAGCCTGGCCACCAAGATTCCAGGCACCCACGACCCTGTCCTGCCTTTCGTACATTCGAACCCTGCTCCTGGCCTTCTTTGTTGCTGTACCCATGCTCCAACTTCTACACAACAATCTGGGCATTTGGGAACTCTGACTTGCTTGACAATAGGCCCGGAGCCCATTTTCAGTGTTGGTTTGGGGTTTCTTTTCAAGTCTGTGCAGATCTGGAGTCCACATACTACAGAAGGCCTTTCACTGAAATAGATCGAGCTCTGGGTAGAAAGAAATTAGGGAGAAGGAAATTAGGAGTCTCCATTTGTTCCCTTACCTTGAGTTCCTCTGTTGCCAGTGGGAGCCTTGCTCAAGGCCTTGTTTAAACACCAGCCCTTGCCAGAGTAATGCCTGATTGTCCAACCAGAATCTTTTACTTCTTGTCGTAACTGTAATTTATATTCTCTGCTACTCAGGACTGTCAATCTTGTATTGAGTGTGCTTGTCATGTCTTTTCCACCTTTCTGGTTCCACCCACATACCTGAGATTTGTAATTCAGGCAGTATCTTTTCGATCTGTAATAAAATGATGAGTTTCAAGGAATCCTAGGTGTGAGGAACATCCTGAGGTCTTAGGGCCTCGCCGCATTGGCTTCTTTCCTGTCACATTAGGGCTATGATAGGTTTGGTGTTTGCTCCATGGTACCCAGGCTGCAGGAGCAACCTCAAACACGACTTTCTCACTGCTTCAGCCTGCAGCCATCCTGTTGGAGCTTCTGCTCCATGGTCTACGTGAAATCTGTTCACATGCCATTGGCTGATGCAAGGCACATGACAAAACCTGGCCCTGAGACAGGAATGTATATTCTTTCTACACAGCTGCTGGTCACATAACAATGGAAGGGTTTCTATAACCCTCTCACAGAGAAGGGAACTAGAATGTAGTTGTAACAATAATATAATCAACTACAACAAAAATCTATTGATACTATACTATGTGCGGCTTGTGATCCTAACTAGCTTGCCTGTTTTTCTTCCTATTTGATTCCCGCAGTTCCAGCATCACACTCATTTTACAAATAAGGAAACTGAAGCAGAGAGAAGCTGAGTGATTTGCCTGGCATCGCACAAGTGAACAGACAAGAAATTTCAGCTTGGGTGACTACAACCCTAGAGTCACTTGCTCGTATTCACCAAGGTGCAATGTATTTATGAATTTATTGTCTCAAATCCTAGGGCCTTCAGAGAGAGAAATACCTAGAGACTGATGGTTTAATCAGACACTAATCAAAAACATTTGGTGGACATCTATTCAATGCGGTAATGAGGGATATAGAAGAGATACAAGACAAGAGAAGTAAATATTACTAAGTGGGATGAAGCACTGAGAATACAGCAAAGGATGATGATGATGATGATGATGATGATGATATGTGTGTGTAGGCACAATCTTAGTAGCTAACAAGCTCTTAAGTGATGACTGATAAGTAGGGAAAGCCACTTGCTGCCAAACCTGACCTTCTGAATTTGATCCCTGGAAGGCACAGAGTGGAAGGAGAAAACCACACCTCTCGAGTTGTTTCCTAACCTCCCCACACTCACCTTGGCGCACCCGAGGCAATAAATGCATAAGTACAATTTTTAACAATTTAAGGCTCGTCACTGGGAAGGCGGCACCTGAGTAAAGACTGGAGAATATCAGTGCCTTGAGGGCGGGGTTTTGTGCCTGGTTTTGTTTGGAGTTATACTCTCCACACCTGAACACGGCCTGAGCAGGGCTTAAGTTTCCAGTACTGACCAGACACACAGCAAAGTAAGGAGAGGGGAGGGGAAAGAAGGGGGAGAGGAAGGAAGGGGAGGGGAAGGAAGGTGGAAGGAGGAGAGTGGAGGGAAGGAAAGGGAAAGGAAGTACTTCCATGGGCAGCCTGTGAGAAGAAGAGGGAACTGTACAAAGGCTAGGAGGCAGCAGGGTGTCTGACTTGTTTCTGATAGGACAAATCAGAGTCTCTGGAGGGGGATGAACCCCAGGGAAAGAAGAGACAGATCGAGATAAAGAGATCTCAGGGACCATTTAAAGGCTGCAGTTCACTTTCCTTCTGTTGTTTTGTTGTTGTTTGTTTGTTTGGGTTTTTTGTTTGCTTGTTTGTTTTGTTTTGTTTGTTTTTGTTGTTCAGACAAGGTCTCTCTCACCACCAGGAAGGCCTCAAACCTCCCACCCTCCTGCCTTGGAGGTTGAATGAACTGGAAAGCCACAAGAGAATTTAGATCTGAGAAGTGACAGAGGTCTGACTTGTGTTTTCTCAGACCATCCTGGGAGATGCAGGACAGAGGAAGGAGGCAGAGTCCCTCCATCCCTGAAATAACCACGCCCTGTGTTGACCAACAGGAAAAAGTAGACCAGACCCATAAATCCATCAATCTCTGCAGTGCAGTGCTTTCAAACTTCGTTGTGTGTCTTCATTTCCTGGCGATATTTGGTAAAATTGCAGGTTACAGGCCGTTTCTCCCAAACTCATTTAGCGGGTCTGGAGCTGGGCATTGGGATCAGACGACGCCTGCGCTGGGATTTGAAGAAGCACCCTGTGAGTTAGCAAGAGTTCTAAGCTTTCGGGTGCTTGGCTGGAAGAGGGGGTTGGAAGCAGTATCCCCTCCCCTAAAGCCTCGGACAAAGAGGGGTCCTCCTTCCAACATTGCTCCTTAGCCGCTGCACAAGGGAAGGTTGATGCGGCAAAACGGGGAGTAACTGGCGGGTGTCCTCAGCGAAAAGCGCCCCCTCCTGCCGCCAGACAAAGGGCGGTGTCCTATAAAGGTTGTGACAGAGGTTCTGTGTCCAGGCGAGGGCGCACACGGACAGCCGATGTCCGCTGCGACAGACACTGACAGCGCGGGCTCCCAGCTCCTGGGAAGAAGTGCGTTGACCTAAGAGAGCGGGAGTGGGCAGAAGCAAAGGGGCCACCGGACAGACCAGAGAGAACAGAGATGTGGCCACTTGGTAGCAGCCACTTAAGGGACTCATTAGGTGACCAGGGAACTTTAGAGGGGCAGAGACAGACAGTGCCGCGGTACTAGGGAGCCTGTCTAGCCTCCTAAGGCACGTGTGTTGTTCAAGCCGTGTCCGTGGTTAGCTGGAACCAGCGCCAGTCCCCTGCATCCCAGAGCATCTCCGGGGTTCTTTATACCGCCGCCAGCTCTCTCAGCGATCCTCCGATACTTTGCAGATGTGTAATTTCAACCTCTAGATGCTTTCCCAGACTCCCGAAATAACATATCGGGCAGGTTTGCCACGGTGAGATGAGGTAACTTTTTGTTTTTTAAGAGTGGGGAGGGGATAGCTGGGAAATAGAGGGTTCGCAGACAAGCTGCAGATTGGACAGAAAGAGCAGAGACGTCAAGCGCGAGCAGGCTGCGAGGCACCGGTGTAAAGTGCGCCTCGGCCCCGATGGCCCCGATGGCCCCGATGGCCCCGGGACTCAAGAAAGTTGTTGAAGGAGACCGCCTCAGTCCGCTCGCCACAAAGAGGTATCCAGTGCGCTCGGCTGATTCCAAGCTTTTCGTGTGGTTGCTTAAGAGAGACAAACGCGATAGTCTGTAGAGAGAGTTCTAAGATCTGAGTGTATGATTATGTGTGAATGAGCGTGAAGTGCACATCTCAGAATCGCAGAAGCTGGGGAATGGGATGGGTTAAATAGATGGGAAGTCTTCCTTGTACCGTTTATTTTTTAATTTTTTAAAAACTGGTATAGAAAACTTTTAAAATTAACATAAAAGGCGTTCGATATCATTGTAACATTTTCAAATAACCTGTGATTGAGTCATTTCTTTTCCTCATCTCCCACCACCTGCTACCTTCATTACACCCCCTCCAACCACACACCTGTGTAAGTTTTATTTGGTATTTCTTTTTTTAACGGAGAGGAACTGTGCCTAGACTATTAGAACTGTGTTGGCTATTAGACTCCATTCCCAACCTAGCTCTTCAAACGGCTGTCCAGCTTTCTTCCTACGGCATATCTGCACTTCCAAGAAAACGTTGTGGGAAGATACAGATACAACAGGATAGAGTTGCAGTAGAGAAACTGACAACCTTACGGGAATAATAATAACAACAACAACAACAACAATAGCAGACCTGTGTGAGTCTGCAGGCCCGAGGAAAACCCTGTAGCGCTGTTAGCTGCAGATGTTTGTGCCTTTCCAGTTGGTCTGGGTTTGTGTCCAAGAACTGTGGACTCGGAAGAGCACTTTGTCTATTTGCAACAGTGGACACCTTCCCTAGGAGCGTAAGTAGTTTTCTTCCGTGAGTGTTACCTCCACCGGCGACAAGAGAAAGAGGTTGTACATTCTATCTTCATGGTATATTTAACATAACGTCATTCAGGTGCTTTCTACAGCACCCATGCCATAGTGAAATCAGTTGTTCAGGCAGACCTTGAAATCTTTTTTTAATTAATTTTTTTTTGTGTGTATGGGTATATATATGCGTGTGTTTACAACTCACATGCCTGGTACCCAGAAGAAGGGGTAGGTCCTCTGGAACTTGAATTACAATTATGAGCTGCCATGTGTGTTGTGGGAGTTGAACCCAGGTCCCATAGATGAACAGTCAGTGATGGTAACCACCGAGCCATCTCTCCAGCACTTATATCTCATATGTGATTTGAGTCTATAACCTTCCACTCAGGGATATGTGGCTAGAATTCGAAAGTCCTATCAACTTGAATAGGGAGATATTATATCTTTATTTTCGATTAACATTTATTCTAAATGTAGTATTTCCTCTATTTACAAATATAGCTGATAAAGTACATTAATATTCACATGGTTCTAAATAAAGAAAACCATTTTTATTCCTGTCTCAGAATAATGATTTTAAATGCATTAAATACATAGACACAGACCATTCCATTCCCTGTGTCTATGTATTTAATGCATTTAAAATCAATTCTAGTAGCTGCTCAGATACTATGATTTAAAATATAATAATATAGTAGCAAAGATTTATTCTAAGACAAGACAGTAGGGGTACGTTTGTCACTAGTGGAAGTCCCAGATACTTGCATCTCACATCTCAAATGCTGTGGATCTTTAAAAAAAAAAAAATCAAATGTCATTTCTTAGAAATTATGGTAGTATGTGTAGTTTTTAATGTGTTAAAAATTAAGCAAATGTATTACCACACTGCATTTTTAATTTCAGTAGGACTCATTATTTTCTGTATTTTAACTTACACATGTAAAATTTTGACAGAGGAACCAATATATATTTAAAGCCACTGTTCTTAGAGGACTGCAAACCCAGGCTTCCCTGGACCACCAAAAAGATTCGTGGTGCAAAAATGAAAAAAAAAAAAAGTTAATGAACCCCAGCCTAGCCGGAAGCCTCAGTAGTGACACTGATGTTTGCCCTTATTTCACCATCTACCCATGGCATCTGGTGTGAAATTTCCCCTCTCTTAGTTTGCTCTGAAATCAAGATTAGCGGCAATCAGTCCTTGCAACTGGAAAAAACACTAAATGCAATTTTCCTTTGATTTAAGAAGTATAGTGCAGCAATTTTCCAGTGGCCTCTATTTTGAGCTTTTCCAGCTTGTTAAGTTACTGATTTCTATTTCTCCCATGGAGAAGGAGAGTCAAACACTCAGGCTAAATCAACAAGGAATTACCAAGCATTCCTCTGATGGCAGCCTACATTTTAGAAGAGTCTTTTTCTTTTTCCTTTCCTTTCCTTTCCTTTCCTTTCCTTTCCTTTCCTTTCCTTTCCTTTCCTTTCCTTTCCTTTCCTTTCATTTTCTTTCCGTTCTTTCTTTCTTTTTTAACTGATCCTTCTGTCTGTCTAGTACAATAGACTCCAGCAGTCTTAGAAAAACACCACAACCAGTTTACCCTGCCTAATCTTCTTTGCTCTCAGCTTGAAAAGGACCCCTACTCCCCATGGGACTAGAGTTGACTTGGCAGTGAGCTAATCCCCCTTTTGATAAGACAACTTTGTCCCTCGGTTCTGGCCAGTTCCAGTGTGAACAACCCTAAGAGTTTCCTTTCTGTCTTCAAGTCCCCTTGATCTGCGTTTCTGTTTCAGGTATAGATGGGGTAATGTTCTGGCAACATGCTTCTATTGTAGAACCAAAGGCCGAAATATTCAGAAATGACTCAGGCTAGATACAGGGTTACGGGGCAGTGCACGTTTCTAAAGAGGAAGAGACCTAGTCCACAGGCCTGATTTCTAGGGAGGTGTGGGCTCCTTGGAAGCCTGCTCTAGCATGTAGGCGTGCTGTCTCTCTGCTTCTACAGAATCTATTTTCCTCCCTCAGGTAAACAAAAGCAGCTTGCTCCTGGGGGTCCAGGCCGTACAATAAAGCCATGCCTTGACTCATGACGCAGTTCTGCGTCCTCCTCAAGCATCTGCCATAGGTTGAGAATACACATTGACAATGGATTTGACACACCTAACCTATAGAAGATCACTTAGACCTGCATCCCTTAAAAGTGCTCAAGACGCTCACTTTAGCCTACAGTGGGCAAAAATCACTGGTGCGGGAGAATCGTGTTACAAATCACCAAAGCAAAGTCGATTTTATAAGAAAGTAGGACACTCCATATATAATTTATCGAACACCTCAGTCCACGAAACGCTAGCAGCACAGCACTGCACACTACAGCTCACTCTACTGATGGTGCAGCTGACAGGGAGCTGCAGCAGATCCCAGGGTCTGCAGGGAGTATTACCCTATGCTGTGAAGACTCATATAGATGGGGTTATGAAGAGGCTGGGCTCTCTCTCTCTCTCTCTCTCTCTCTCTCTCTCTCTCTCTCTCTCTCTCTCTCTCTTGCTGGGTTCTCTCTCTCTCTCTCTCCACTACTGCTCACTCCACTGATGGTGCAGCTGACAGGGAGTGTGCCACTATGGCCCGGCACCTTTCCTTTCTTCTGAAAAGCTCTTGACACACTGCACATTCACACCCAACACTTCCCGGGCTAAACATATACTTTATTCACATGTGTGCTCAATTCCATACTGTAGGTGATTTTGATCAGCTGGGAGAGATAGGTTATAAAGGAAGCAGTGGGGTTGGCGATGCAGCTTAGTCGGTCAGTGTTGCATGGCCAGCATGAGGCCCTGGGTTCAATCCTCAGCATGCAGAAACCAAAAAAATGGTGACATAGGACTATAACCCTAACATTCAGTAGGTAAAGGCAAGAAGAGCAGAAGTTCAAGGTCATCATTGGTTGCATAGTAAGTTTAAAGCCAACCTGGAATACATGAGATCCGACCTCAGAAGAGGGGAGCGGGGAGGGATTAAAGGCATTTTTGTAATGGTGACTTATAAACAGTAGGGAAGAAAAGGTTACAATGTTCTTCTTTTGCCCTTTCTTCTGCCATTCTTTTTCTCCTTAAACAAGATATTTCTAAAACACTCAAAATGGATTTCTTAAAGCCTGACTTAAGAATATTGAGCATTGCAGGCTCTTGGCAGAACATGTGATTGTAGTTCTTGGCCACCAAAGTCCCTTTTCTCTCCCATCTCAGGAACCTGGACATGACCAGTAAGATCTTCACAAACACGAGGGAGCGGTGGAGGCAGCAGAGTGTCAACAGCGCCTTCGCCAAGCTGAGGAAACTCATCCCCACTCACCCTCCAGACAAGAAGCTGAGCAAAAATGAAACGCTTCGCTTGGCAATGAGGTATATCAACTTCTTGGTCAAGGTCCTGGGAGAGCAAAGCCTACAGCAAGCAGGAGTAGCTGCTCAGGGAAACATTCTGGGGCTCTTTCCCCAAGAGCCCCACCTGCCAGACATGGATGAAAGACTTCTACTCAAAGACTATGGAGTTGCTTCCCCTGACCCCAGCCGTGAGGCTCCCTAAGGTGGCTGTGGCTGTTGGCGGCACTAGTCGAAGAGTTCTGTGCTTGTGTGTGTGCTATGGAGAGGTGTGATGCAGGAAGTGATGGGGACAGAAGCTGAGAGCCACAAGGGGACTTGAGGAATGTCGCTCTAGCCTCATTACCCCAGGACTTCAGGCAGAAGGACTTGCTCCGTAAGTCCTTTGCAAGACGATTGCAAAACAGCAAAACAACCATTAAATTTAAACTGCCACCTCGCTCATGGCTTCAGTAATGAGGATCTCAGAGGAATGAACGATGCTTGTTGCCCTCTGAATATATTTAAAAATTTGCTTTGAAAAAGGAGATGTGTCTGATTGAGGGTAGATACAAGAAGTCTTAAGACTGATGAATGAAAAGGTAGCCACTGTGGAAAACCAACCCCAGAGAGGCATGGGTCATTTCTGGAGGGATGTCCCTTTGGGCAAAGCAGTGAGGATTCTGTGGGAGGAAAGGCTCCATGTCCTTCGACCTCTATATACTTATGATAACCTACCTGGCTGCATAGTAAGTGTGAGGTCAACCCGGAATACATAAGATCCAGCCTCAAAAGAGGAAGAGGTCAGGGCTGGAGAGATGGCTCAGTGGTTAAGAGCATTGCCTGCTCTTCCAAAGGTCCTGAGTTCAATTCCCGGCAACCACATGGTGGCTCACAACCATCTGTAATTAGGTCTGGTGCCCTCTTCTGGCCTGCAGACATATACACAGACAGAATATTGTATACATAATAAATAAATAAATATTAAAAAAAGAGGAAGAGGTCAGGGGAGGGACAAAACACAGATTTGTAATGTTGACTTCGAAGTTGAGCCTCTGAAATAAAATGATGGATTCCATTCATTCGAGGAAAAACCCTGGTAATTTAGGAGCTAGACTTCATAGTTTTCTTATTAAAAATTAGCTGAAATGAGGGAGTGAACCCCTAAGAAGTTTGACACATTGGGTACTAAAACTTTGAATGCAGCCTAAATTCCTGCTGACTTAAGCTCTGCACAAGTCAATAATTATGAAAAACCCCAATAATGGCATTTCACATTTTGCAGAAATAAGGGACCAGATGCGAATGAACTTGCTAGTGAACCAGTACATTGAAGGCCACGGAGCATTGGCTGGCTCTTAAGCTGGGGCGGGGTAGCACCCGGCAAACCAGTGGAATAGTGTGGATGCTCCAGTCCTCACTCCTCACCATTCTGGTCCTCATGGAACTTGGATTCAATGATGAATCCAGCAGTTGAGCCGTCAAAGGCAGATGTCTATATCTGGGACATTTTATTTCCCCAGAGTTCTTTTGGCTTTATGATCATCCAATCATAGGTGGGACAGCTATGGATTGTGGTTAAGAATTTACAGTGTCTACACAATACAGAATTTAAATGTCCCTCTGGAAAGTATTTTATTTATAGGTAATCACATCATTAAGGTCGATTTAGCCAATGCACTTGTAGCACAATGGGTTTCCCTCTAAGTCCTTTGTTTAACCTCACTTGGTTCATTTCCCCACGGAAACAGAGATAGGGAACCACAGAGGCTGCTGGAGTCCTTCCTTCCACCCTAGAGAGTATATCATTCGCACCAGCTGCGGGAGGTTCAAGCTTGTCCCCGATTTACCAGACAGTAGGACTTTTCTAAGTTTTAATGATAGTTGTCAGTTAAGTCCCACTGCCCTCACATCTGGCATTAAATAAAGTACATTTGACAGTGACTTTGTTTCTAAGGATTTTTTTTTCAATTTATTACATATCAGTGCTCTACCTGCATGCCAGAAGAGGGCACCAGATCTCATTACAGATAATTGTGAGCCACTGTGTGGTTGCTGGGAATTGAACTCAGGGCCTCTGGAAGAGCAACCAGTGCTTTTAATCTCTGAGCCACCTCTCCAGCCCCAGGGACTTTGCTTTTATTTAGATTCTTTGAACATGAAGAAAGCACAGAGGCCCCCTGTCCCTAGATGCATTTTTTTTTTTCCGAGACAGGGTTTTTCCATAGCTTTTGGTTCCTGTCCTGGAACTAGCTCTTGTAGACTAGGTTGGCCTCGAACTCGCAGAGATCCGCCTGCCTCTGTCTCCCGAGTGCTGGGATTAAAGGCTTGCGCTACCACCGCCCGGCTTAGATGCAAAAGTTTTGCTCTACACAGACCACACTCACTTTCCTGATTGCTGGAGCTTTTGTCTGTGCTCAGAGGGGGCCTCCCACTGAAATGCTTCAAGGACCCCAAAAAGATGTGAGGAGGTTGCATCATTATTACAGCAATCGTGGGGGACACTTATTTAAAGAAACCCTAGAGGAAATCCGTTTGTAGGCGAATGTTATTTTTTTTTAACATTCTTTACAATGTTATTATATAGGATGTATTTATTCAGCTTTAATTTTCTGTATCAAGTTGAATTAAATTAACACAACTATTAATGAATAAAACCAAAACAAACAACAAACAAACAAAAAGCCAACTCTAATCACATGTGGTCCCAAACCTAGTCATGATATGTGTGAGACCGGAAGCTAATTCAAAACTCCCTCTATGGTTTTCTTTGATGGACCAAGTAAGAAGACTTCATAGTTCAAACGCATTATCGTCTACCAGATGCTACATCTGCTTACGGGCCATTTGAACAGGACTATGCTTCTCTGTTCTTTGAACTAAAGTGAGTATTTGGTCTGCTTTGGACAGTAATGGAAATGTTTAGAAACCACATTTAAGCAGGACCTTGTTTTATATAGACTGTGGTACTCCATTGCACAGCGAAGAAAACAGGTTTGTCTCAAGGTCTGTCAGCACAGGACACAGACGCCTGTCTCCTGACCCTCTCTCTAGCCCGTCCACGGCGCTGGTCAGTCACCATGTACTTGGAACTGAAAATGGGCAAGCGCCTTACCGTTATGTTAACCTTTCCCCAAAGCATTTAGTCATCTTCATGTGCTTCTCTTGTGATATGACATTACCACTCGCTATAGAATGTGTGTAGCTCTGTCAACCAAAGACTTTATCTGTTGATGTCTTGTGTCATTTCTTAACCATTGATCCTAATTTGCTATTTAACTGTTAACTTATTACAAATAAATTATTTAAAAAATAATTGTCCTTTTATTTTTAGGAACAATGTTATAAACTTACAAAGAATATCCACACTGTCTTCCCCTTTCAAGGTCACTGTTTTCATGTGGAACAAAACTCATTGTCCTTGGCCTAGAAAAGAAATTATCACCAGCGGACATCTCTCCCCTCTCCCCATGTCCTCACAGCAGCGCGCTGTGCTGTTTTATTTCTCCTGTCTTTTCTTTTTTCCTTTTTTAGACAGTTTTACCACATAAGACCCTGGTGGTCTTGAACTTACGATCCCTCTGTGTTAGCCTCTCTTACGGTGGAATTACAGGCAGGTGCCACTTCACCTGCCTCATGTGGCTTCCTAATTCTCCCCAGATCCACAGCTGTGGCCACATCACTTCCCTGCTGCCATCCCCTCAGGGTGTCACCTACCATACAGACAGACACTGCCAGAGCAAGGCCACCTGCAAACCCGGCCCATCATCCCTTCCTATCCCCTTTCCACAGACCCTGCAAGTGTTGCACCAACCAATGGAATGACTTCACTCAGTGATCCACTGTTCCTACTTCTTCCTGTGGCCTTGTGATTTCAAATGTTTGTCCCATTCTCTTTCCTTCTGCTTACCTCTGTATCAAATCTCAGACGCTAAACCCTTCACGGTTGATCTTAATATGTAACCCCCTTCTACCTTCCCTTCCTTACCTTTTCCCCCTTTAGGGATGGGATCTCCTTAACCTCCTGGCCATACCCCCTTCCCCAGTCTCCCCAGGACTGGGGTTGCAGCCTGGCTACCTCTGCTTACATAGAGTCCTAGAGTTCTTCTTTTCAATCCGCTCACTGTTTCCTCATCTCCCTTACCTGACTTACAACCTCTTTTCCTTTGCTGTGTATTATAGACACCTATATATACCTGTTCTTTCTGAAAAACTAAAATCCACTTGAGTACAGGGATAGGCTCTGATATTTAATCTTCACCACAGTCCTACAACTGACCCCGGCTTCTAAAATGTAAAAAAAGATTCTAAGACTATCCATGTCAAGAATTATAGTTGGCTTCCCCTGTGGGTGTGGGGGGAGAGAAGACATTAAAATAAAGCCACACAGGCTGGTTTTTCTTTTTTCTTTTCTCTCCGAGACCCTCAGTCTAAGACCTTTCTTTAAAGCTCTCCATAATTACCGTCCAAGTAAATACCCCTTACGGCACCTGCCTTGTGAGTTTCATCACTAAGAATGGTTTGCGATGGCCAAAGTAAGTATTAAGTTATGCATGTCTGGCATTGTCCTTAAAAAGGCAAAAGATGAAAGGGGCTGGGGATAATGGTTAGCTTAACTGATGACCTAGGCCAAAGGTTAGTCAAAAGTCACATCCTCAGCTAGAAAGGCTGATGATCTGGAGTGATCTGAAAGTCCAATAGCAATGCAAAGTGAGGGATTTGCAGCAGGTGTTCAGAAAGAAGCAGGAAGGCTAGAAGGTCCTCCAGGGTCGCAGGAGGCCAGGGGTGGCAAGGTCTCTCCAGCCCAGTGTCTTCTTGTGCTCCACTTGCAGCTGACTGGAAACAGACAGACGTGCATGGCTTCATTTTCTTTTCTCTTCTTCTCTAATAGATTATCACCAAGAAGTTATAAAGACACCAGATTTATGTACGAGCTTCAGTTAGGTTCATAATTTACCAAGTAACATTTATTACAAGAAGTTAAAAATGTCCACTTGAGAAATTTTCTTGGTAGACTAATGAAGCCAACTGTTAGAGTGAATGTGATCCCATTCTTTGTTCTAAGTAATCATAAAAAGAACTATGGAAAGACATAATCAGAATTCTGGTCAAAGAAGTATGCCCATGAACTTGGTGTAGTGACACTCCAGTAGAGCTAGCTAGGCCACAGTTAAGACAGAAGATTTCTTCAATTCCAGAATTCACAATCTGTGCAGCATAATGAGACCTTGTCTCTGGA